CTCCCCTCCCCCCCCCAGCAGGGGTCCCCCACTGGCTGGGAGTAGGTGCTAGAAGGAGGAACCCATATGCTGCTGTCACTGATGGACATAGACATGGGGAAGGCCAGAGCCACTCCTGCGTGCACAGCATAGAGAGGTTGTGCAAGGAGCCTAGCTCAGCTGGGGGCTATAGCTGCAGTGGGGAATATCAGGGGAGAGGACAATGGGCAGGGAGCAGGCGGTGAAAGTAGGAACTTGCATTCTGCCCCCACTGTCCCCAGCATGAATGACGCATGCCCCCGGCGGCTCGGGATGCACAGCAGTGGCGGGAGCGCGGCAGCAGTAGGTGGGAGCTCCCACAAATGCTGCCAGTGCTGTTGGCAGCAGGGGAGGCTGCAGTGGGGAATATCAGGGGAGAGGACAATGGGCAGGGAGCAGGCGGTGAAAGTAGGAACTTGCATTCTGCCCCCACTGTCCCCAGCATGAATGACGCATGCCCCCGGCGGCTCGGGATGCACAGCAGTGGCGGGAGCGCGGCAGCAGTAGGTGGGAGCTCCCACAAATGCTGCCAGTGCTGTTGGCAGCAGGGGAGTGGGGGTGGTGAGCGCTGACCAGAGGTTGGCGACCAACCACAGATGCCGCCGGCCGAGGCGTAGGTGCTAGAAGGAGGAACCCATATGCTGCAGAGGCAGCGGCAGCCAGCTGATTGCCCGCAGACGCCGCTGGCGTTGTCAGCAGCAGGAGGGATGGTGAGCGGCGACCGCCCACTGGCACCTTTTTGTAGGGGGTGCACCGCCATGCTCAGGGGGTGCATGTGCACCCATGTGCACCCCCTATGCATCACCCCAGTCCCCAGCCTAGTGGGGCAGGATTGGTCTGGGCCCCTCTTCCCCCAGGTTAGCCAGGAAGTGGTGGTGGTGTCAGCAAGGGCAGGTCCCCTCTCCTTCACGTGCCTACTTCCTTGCTCTGGAGCTTAGTCCATCCTTACTCAAGTGTCTGCTCATGGGGGAGAGGGGGAGTTGGATCAGGAGGTCTCTTCTGTCCACACAGACTTTGCTAACAATCTGTAAAAGTAAATAGTTTTGTTTAAACTTTGAGAATGTCCCTTTCCAAAGCCCTGGGGCTCTTCTCTTTCTCTCCAGCCACTGACTCCTCAGCCTGGTCCCTGCAGTGCCTAACTGAAGCGCTCAGGCCTCAGCTCTCAGCTGAGAGCTCCTACACCAGTACCCCAAACAATCCTCCACACTCCTTCTTTGTCTGTTCCAATCATTTTGGGAGGAAAAAGTCATGAACTCTCAGAAATGACTCAGACGAACAAGGAAAGAAAAAACTCAAATGAAGAAATATAAATAAAATGTTGAAAATAACAAATAATTACACAACATAGAAGAAAAAAAAAAAAGCAACCACTTTCCATGCAAGTCTGTGAACAAAAAAACCCCATTTTTTTATAAAGAAATATTTTTCTTCAAAGCTTTTTTATTGAGCCCTAATAGATGCTTCATTTCCAGAGGAGCTTCACATTTAGTCTTCACACAGATGCCTTCCCTGCCACTTGCCCATGCCGGGTTGGCAGCAGCTGGAAACACTGGCATTCAGCACGCCTTCCCTGCAGGGTGTCAGCTTTCATTTCCTTTCAGGTCTTTGCAGAACACTGCTGTGCTGCTCTCCCCATTTGCCTAGAGGCACAGAAAACTGTCTCCAGCAAAGCAGCACCTGCAAATGCATTTCCCACTTCCTAGCAGCACAATTACAAGGGGAAACATGGTCATTTGAGCTGCTGGGGAGGGATAGGGGTGAAAGGATAATTGGGAGGCAGGGCAGGGTGTTTTCTGTAACAAACCAGTAGAACTGGGGCGGGGAACAATGGGAGAAAACAGGAGCAGCTAAATAAATGAGGTTGATTTAGCTTCATATAAACTGAGCACCTGCCCTCTGAAAGTCAGGGCCAGGAAGGGATCTTGTCTTGGGCACCCAGATATGGAGGTGCCACATGGCACCAGACACTTTTGCACAAGTAGCCACTACTCTTTTGGTTATTGCTTTAGTCATGTGGTTCTGAGCAGTGACCAGCTCCCCAGCTTATTTACTTCCTGTGATACAGCCAAGATCTTTGCAATATCCAGCTTCTTACATGAACTATCATGATTTTCTGTCTGATGTTATATTACCAAAACCGTTGCCTAAGGGTGATATACTCTGATAAGAATCCATAATGCTAATTCCATGCAACAGACAATATTATGACCTTGCTTGTATGTGCCATAATGTTCCACAGCAGGTACCTACCCCTCCAGCCTTCTAGGGGTGGGTCCAGATGGGGTGTGATGGTGCTGTCTCACCCCCACCCCCTTTGTGGACCACGTTTCGGGTGACCACCTTTTCAAAAGAGGAAGACGGGACACATGCCCACCTTTTCCCCCTCCCCACATCGTAGCCACCATGGCTGGATGAGAACTGAGCAGAGCAGGCCTGGATGCAGGCTGCCCACTGCGGGCTCAGGGCTCCCCATCCTGCTGCCCTTCCCTCAAGAGCCCTGTACCGGCTGTGCGGCCCCTGCCCCCACATCAGCAGCAGGGGGACAACTCCACACCGCCCCTGCTGCTGCCAGGTGGGCAGGGGTGCCTCACTATGGCAGAGCAGCCAGCACAGGGCCCCCAGGGGATGGCAGCAGGGTGGGGAGCCCCAAACTCACTGTGGACAGCCTGCAGTCTCCCCACATGCAAATCTGAGTGGCACGTGCCCCTGCCCCCTGGACAAGCCACCTGTGGTGCCATCCTGCTCTCCACCCTAGCCCCACGCACCGCCCTGGCTGTGTACCCAACCCCTGTCCCGCTCCCTCCCTCACTGTGGGGGTCTCAATCTGCCCCCCACTTCCATCCTCCTTATACCCTCTCCCCCCCATAGACTTACCTGCAGGAAGCTGCTCTCCATGCTGCCCGGCTGTATTCCTGGTCAAGTGCATGCCCTGTGTCCTGCTCCTGGCAGCCCCTTGCAGGCTGGAACGCTGCCAGCCTGCAAGGGGAAACTCATAGTTTCCCGATCCCTGCAGATGCCGTGAATCCAGGACATATGCTGTCCTCAACTTGTGCAGTCCGGGACCGGGACTTGATGTTTCCATTGCAGAACTGTCCCATCCAATTAGGGATGGGTGGTCACCCTAACCATGTTGCTGGAGCAGCAGCCAAGGACTTTTTTAAAGTCCCTGAAGCTGGTAAGAATTCCACCTTACAGGACCCGCTTCCTCCCCCTCTGTCCTCAGTGGCACATCCCCTCCGCTCCACACCCCTCCTATTCTCTGCAGTGGCTGATTGAATTAACGCTGTTCCAAAATGACCTGGGCGCAAGGGGAGCTCCAGAGCTTCTGGTGCCCTGCTCCAGCCAGGCTGCACAGGAAGTTTGGCTTGGTTGGGGACAGCATGAGTAGCAGCCAGGGCTGGCCTGTCTATACCTGCGAAACCTGCAGCTGCAGGGGTCCCCGCAGCCAAGGGGCCCCATGTGGCTGGTATCCTCCCCAGCAGGGAAGTGAGAGCCACAATGTAGCAGGGAAAAGTGGAGAGGTACCTAGGGAGTCAGATGTCAGGCAGCTTATAGTGTGTCATACATACAATGTCTATGTTTAGTCCAGGGATGTAGCCGTGTCTTTGAGAGTTGTGCTGAGTTGCTCTTTGGTATGTAGATTAGGTAAAATTCCTTCCCTGGAGGTGTCAGATGGCAGGCGGGGAGGTAAAAAATCTTTCTTGTTGTTCTGAAATGAAATTTAAAATGAAGTTTAAAATCCAAAATCAGCTAAAAGTTGGCATCTTTCACGTTTCAGGGATGTACTTGGTAGCCGTGTTGGTCTGAGATGAGAAGGAATAAAAAAATGTAGAACTCTTGGTTCCAGAATGATACCTTTTATTAAACCAACTGGGAAATCACAAGAAAAGGCTGGACCCAGAGGGACAGCTTTCCATCTCCAGCTCCCTCTGTGCAAAGACGAAGTGTATTTCCTACCTATGGGGACTTTTTACCATCTATACTTTTCTCAGAGCCTGATGAAGGGCCTTTGAGCTCAAAAGTTTGCAGAAAAGGACAATTTTCTTGTGATTTCCCAGTTGGTCTAATAAAAGGTATCATTTTGGAACCAAGAGGTCTACGTTTTTTTTATTTCTTCTATGTTTACTCCATGATTTTTTTGTATCCAGGAGGTTGATAAAGTGAAGTTCATAGGCTTGCCTGTGAAAAATGTTTTGTGGATTCCCTTTGAGGATTAATATTGAGAGATTGGAGAGAGAGTGGTTTTCTTGTGAGAAATGTGCCCCCACAGGTAACTGGGTATTCTGGTCTTTAATAGGTTTCCAGTGTGCATTCATTCTGGTGAGCAGTTGTTTGGTCTCTCCTACGTATTTTCCATCAGGGCATTTGGTGCAGTGGATGAGATATATAATACTTCTGGAGGTGCAGGTGTAAGATCCAGGAATGGTGATGGCTCTGTTGTGGGGTGTAGTTATTGTGGGAGTGGTGGAGGTGTGTTGGCAGGTTTTGCATTTCTTTTCATGGCATGGCTTGGATCCATCCAGTATGTTTTGGGCTGTAGGAAGTTTGCTTCTGGTGATGAGGTTGGTGAGGTTCGGTGCTTGTTTGAAGGCTAGGATGGGTGGATCTGGGAAGATCTCTTTAAGAACTGGGTCTCCTTCTAGTATGGGTTGCAATTGTTTGAGGATTTTCCATATAGGTTCGAGGGAGGGGTGATGTGTCATAACCAGCAGTGGGCGATTTGTAGGGGTTTTCCTTCTGCACTGCAGCAATTCTTCACGTGGTATCTGGATGGCTCTTTCAAACGTGCATCTATCTCTCTGGAGGAGTGTTTTTGTTGTGTTCTTAAAGCCCTTTTTAAGATTGGTGAGATAGAAATCCCGGGTGTTCTTTTCAGTGCAAATTTGGTGGGATCTGAGGGCTTGGATGTGTATCACAGGTTTCTTTGTATGTTTACGGTGATTGCTGGTTCTGTGCAGTTATGTACGTTGGTCTGCGGGTTTCTTGTATAACATGGTCTGTATTTCACCATGCCTAAAAAGGAGATGTTGCTGCTGGAGTACTCAAAAGATAGTCAGATGGAGGGGTGATGATTGCTGAATTTCGATGGAACTCAGAAATTGCAGGTTTTCAGTCCAAATGATGAGGTCATCAATATACCTTAAGTATAGCAAGGGTTTGATGGTGCAGTCTTTGAGGAATTCTTCTTCCAGGTGGCTGAAAAACCCCCAGCCCGGCAGGGTCCACCCAGCCTCCCCTGCCAGCACTAGGAGGGGAAGGGCCCTCTCCCCCCTGAAGCCCAGCTCCTATGGTGGGAGGGGGCCTCCAATTTTGTGCTTGCCCAAGGCCCCAGTACACCTTAATCTGTCTCTGCACTCGCCATGCCCCCCACCACCAATGACTTCTTTGCATCAGGGAGCCCCAAAGTTATGCCTTGCAAGGGGCCCAAAAAAATTGTGGGCCAGTCCTGGTGGCAGCAGTGGTGGGCAGCTTCCTCCTCCCTGCCCAGTCCCCTGAAGTGGCAAATTAAGATTTATTGGAGCTCTGGGCAAACAGAAAATTGGAGGCTTCCCCCATCCTGTTATAAAAAAAAATATGTCAAAAAGCATTAATGAATAGACCCATTAAATATGCTGTTCTGCCCGTCCTCAACAAGATCAAAATCAGCACCCTTCATGGGGAAGAAAATTGTAAGCACCTCGCCCTCCCCACAATACAGGATCCTCCAAATTCTTCACCACAGACTTTGAGGAAGCCTGCCAAACTCTGCTGTAGGTTTGGATCATCAGTGCAGACAGCGTCTCCCTCCATGCTTCCTTCAGGGCTTTCTCCCCAGCTCCCTGCTACCGCCGTTCCACGGGGAGCTAGAGCTACATCACCTGTCTAGAAGAGCTCCCATTGGCTTCTGGGAGGTGATGGAGCCCATCTTCCTAGCTCTATCTTCCATCATAAAAAGGGGGGCAGTCAGCTTTATGGTTGCCACTAACTGCAGGAGGGGCAGGATCTCTGCACAGTAGGAACGATCACAGGAAGTTCCTGAGTTCCTTATTTCCTAGGTCTAAGGAGGGGTGTCTTCAGTCGATGAAGGAGTGCCTCATGTCTAAGGAGGGGTGTCCTGAGTCTCTGGAGGAGTTTCTTGCATCTAAGGAGGAGTGTCTTGCATCTAAGTAGGGGTGCCTTGAACCTAGAGGGGTGCCTTGAGTCTATGGCGCAAGACGCTTTGAGTGTAACGGTTTGAGAACCCCGGCTTCAGCTCTGAGTATATGAGACGTGTAGTGGGGGCAAGAGGGGGCATGAACCCCCCCTGACAGGGCTGCCACCAATGGCGGCGGCGGCTACGGGAGCTCACTAGCTCCAGCTCCACCTCTGACGCCAAGGGCACGCCTGTGGGTGCCCCCCCTACTCAGAAGGCACCAGTCGCCCATGGCTCTGAGGCAAAGAGCCATATGAAAACATCCTCCCTCAGCCTTCCCTGGGGCTCATCCTGTGCCCTTTGAGCCCAGGGCCAGGCTAGGCCCAGCCCATGGCCTTGCTACATCTTTGCTACTTGGGTTCCACACAAATTTCACCTGGGTCGTCTTGGAAGTTGGGGGGGGGGAGGAGGATCCCCCCACCCCCGCAGCAGCCCAGGCCCGGCCCCAGTGCCAGTCCCACCCCTGCTGGTACTGGTGGTGGCTGGGTGGGAGGTGGCACCCCTGGCTGCTTCCAATGCCATGAGCCCTGCTGGGCAATGTTGCCTCCACTGCCCTATGCAGATACCCACACAGCACCATGCTGGACCGTCCAGCACATTAGAGATTTTTCCCAGGGGGCTCCTGATTGGCAGGGGTCCCTTGGCTGGGGCCCCATGGGCCCCTGCGTTAATCTGCCCCAGTTCCCTGGGTCTTCTCTGCCAAACTGGAGGAGGTGGGGAGTCTTGGAGCAGGGGTGAAGTCACCCCTGCAGCACTAGACACTACTCCTGAATGCCCTTTTTCCAAGTCCTTGGATCCACCTTGCATCCTTCTACCTTGTGCAGAATGCCCCTC